CTTGGATGGTCTTGGATGCAACTCCCATACCTACGCCACCCGGGGCCTTGTGGCGATGGGCGAGTTGTTCTGATGGGGATCAGGAAGCAAACATCGCAACGGAGACCAAAACAACATGACCGTCAGATAACGGTAATTAGTTGCCGTTTACCCCGAGACGGAGCTCATGACTTACCTTTATTAACAAACTGTATGCTGTCCATGTGTGCCCTCGACACTAGATCTGCACACACCCATATTGCAGGGTATTTCCTGACTACGGAAGTCCCGCATCATTGCTGCCTGAATCCTCGCCACAAGGTCGCGTGTGTTCGTAAAGGCTTCACCTGTATCGTCGGAGAGGCATTGGGGCTCCAGAACTCCACGTCGAGGACTTTTTGCCTAAAGTTGGGGGTACAAGTACCTTAAGTTGCAGTAATTTTGGTATCTCTAGTTTGAACATGCTGAAACTTCCGTTGCTGCTAAAAAGCCTGCTTGCCCATATGTTTCAAACAGGCTTTCGACATTCGGTTAATGAGGGTTTGGGGCGAATTATGAAGACATGCCAGGGGAAGCCTTACTCGAAGACTCACATCTAGCTTCGATGGGTGAAACTACCGGCTACCTGATTTACTGCAGCCTACGATCTGTTCAACCCTACGTCGACCCAAAGAAGCAAGCAGCTAAAGGACCCGTTCAAATTCTTGTACACATCCTTGTGCAGCTCTTTAGGATATCGTGTGAGAACCCATGAACCTTCAAATCACCAACTCTGAACCCCACACACAACCTGTCTGTCCGATTTATCGGCTGGATGCACAGGTGCGAGAAACAACTGCAAACGGGCAGCAGCTTCCAGAGTTCTATACTCCCTGTACTCTGGAGCGACGAGACCGTTCACATGCCATGGCCCGAAAAAAAAGCAGTAGAAACAAACTCGATAAACAGAAGGCATAAGCACCCTTCCCCCGCAAAAGCCCCAGCCCCCGAGTCTTGAACCCCGCACACCCATTCCACCCCAAACCCATGAGTACCCAGAAGCCTTCAACACCTTACAACCAAAGCTTCATCCCTAAATACTGTAGCGGGCTAGGGTTTAGGGTTTAGGGGTAAACTCAAACCTACAGCCCTAAGATGCACTCAACCTTATTCTCGGTGTACTTGTGCCCTACGTAGTTCAATGCTGCAGATATAAGGTTTCATCAACTTATAAGCCGCCTAAGTTACATGGTTAGAAGTGCAGCGATGTCTGGGTTATAAGCACCCGAACCTTCAAGCAACTCCCATAAACAATGTACAAACACGAAACTAAAAGCAACAATCACACATAAACAACAAAAAAACACAAATTATTCTAAACCCTAAACCCAGGAATTGTTCTAAACACAACCCTAAACAACAAATCCCTTTCCCCCCTGCCTGCCAAGGACACAGCGCGCCAGCCGGCCTCGACGCCGAGGCGCGCAGCTTGGGAGCCTACGAAGCAGATCTGCTTTCTTGCGGGGGCCTCAAGATGTAGGGTTTAGGGTTTAAGGTTTAGGGTTTAAGGCTTGGGGTAGGATGTAAGGTTTAGTTTTGGGTTTTACCTAGAGGCTCATACCCCACAGTAGGTACCCTGAAAAGGGGTAAGGGGTAGGGTTTAGCATAAGGGTCGTAGCTTGTCTCAAAGATTGGGTTTGGGTTCCTGTAAGGGGTCTCTGAAGAGGTATATGAGAGAGACTATAAGGGTTCTTCAAGTGTTTGGTCGGATGGGGTCTTAACAATTCGAAGTGGGTTTAGGGGGGATATTAAGGTATGTATCCGTATATTCATAGGAAAGCCTTAGGAGCACGTAGTGTTGTTCATGGTGGACCATAGGACCCAAAAGCATGTGGGGCTCCCAAACCTCAAAGAGCTAAATTGTTGGCACGAGAGTTTCCATTCCGGGTCGGGATGCAAAACCCTCTGGACATACGGTTGATGATATAAATCCTGCATTACCCCCTCAAAAGGAATATACCATAGTTCCCATAGCTTAGGGTCCTTAAGGTAATGCAGGTTTCATATCACCAACAGTAGGTGTGGGCCCTAAACCCTAAACCCTAAACCCTAAACCCTAAACCCTAAACCCTCAACAAGAGTCGACATGATTGTGCACACAATCCAAACTCTGAATCCCGAACTCTTAGGACCCGGAGCCCGGAAAACAGGGTTTAGGGTTTAGGGTTTAGGAATTAGGGTTTAGGGTTTAGGGTTTAGGGATTAGGGTTTAGGGTTTAGGGTTTAGGAATTAGGGTTTAGGGATTAGGGATT